GAATTGCAGTAGCCTGTGGCATTTTGCGTGAACTGGTCCAATCCATTGTGACTAAAGCAGAGCTCAGTCTGAAAACTAAGTTCTCGGTGTTCAAGTCAATCTTGACCCCCATGCTTACCTACGGTCATGCATCGTAGACCATGAGTAGAATGCTCCTAACCCGGGTACAAGCTGCTGAAATGCGCTTTTTTAGACGAGTTGCTGGCCTTACATGTCTCGACATTTTCCGGAATACTAACATCCGGGAGAGCTTGGGTGTACAATCTTTGCTTCTCCAGAATGAGAAGTCACAGCTGCAATGGTTTTGGCATGTATTGCGAATGCATCCAGAAAGGAAGGCTAAGCAACTGTTTCTTGCGATTCTGACCGGCAGAAGGCCCAGGGAATGGCCAAGCGTGGTGCTAATATACGGAAAGTGTTTATTCCAGACTCCAGACGAAGAATGGGAAATGTTGGAAGCTCTGTCTAACGCGTCTGCCTCCGCGACCCGAAAGTAGAAGCGACTATGGAAGATGAAGATAATATTGCATATTTGTAATGGTGCATGAGTATTCCCTTTAATCTCAAAGATAAACTGTTATCACTTACTCCGATGTTTGATACAGAGTAACGCCGTAGGGACGAATCATTCACACCACTAAAGAATACCATATTTTCATAGCGGCGCGAATAATGTCGTATATACGATAAAGTTGCCTGATGTATTCTATAAAATTTGCTTATTTATTAGGACTTTTTACATGTAGGATGCTGATCAAGTGATCAACGAAATGAGCGATGAATGGAACGATTTTTGCGACCAGTTGGAAGGGAGACTAAACAGTGTGATCGGTTTGGATTTTCTGCATCAAGAATGTTACGACATTGCCTTGCATTACCTGAAGAAGTCATCTGAATTTCTCAATCCGAAAGCAGTTTACAACATTGGCATGCTATATTACAAAGGACTTGGTGCCAAACGGGATCTGTCAATGGTAATGATCATTCTACTTATGGACTAAACATAATTTTGTATGACTAATTATATGCGAAGAAAAAGTATTTGATTCATGCATTGCTTGTCATACGAAAAATCTCAGAAGGAGCTTTGCTTAAAGCGTTCGCCCCAGAATGTGCTGAATGCGTCCGCATCATCAGCAAAACAAGCTGCTTCCTTGAGCTATCTCCATTCCATTTCTTCTGTCAGTGATCACATTCCGGTGAGTACGATTGCGGATGATGAAACAAGCCACTGTTAGCTTCAGAATTCACGGAGGATTAGCCGAATAAATAGACCTGGGTAAAGATGATGATTTGGCTAGATTAATTTGATAGAATGCCCAAAAATTTGACGATAGTACTGTGGAAAGATTGATGCGTACTAACCAACCCCAGGAGCTCACCGTCGGCTTGGTCCGGTCAAGAAGTTGGGTTTTCATAACGTCATATCATAAGTGCTTTATTGTTTTTCTGAGTCATTTGCCAAGCTGCAAATCTTGCCTGACCTACTCGACAATTCACTGGTCGATTCGAGCTTATGATTATCCTTGTGA